TTCAAAACTGTACAATTAACCCAACCCAAAGTAGCTGCAAGAGGTTTGTGTAAGAAAACAAGTGATTTGGATGATAAAATTACTTCCTGTTTAGAGAACTGTTACACATACACTTCTCTCTCTGCATTATGTATTTTTCATAATTTTAACAATCATACATACTTAATTGAAAAATTCAGTGTTTTCTTCTTTCAGTTTATCTTTGCTTATACTGCCCAGCACTATCCTTTAGTAAAATGTTTTTTTACGTTTTGCTGTGTAATGTCATACAGTTGCACTACAACATAACTATAATTTTCTTCTTTTTTTTTTTAAAGTGACAACATTTATTCTCTTTTTTACTAATCTCAGAGGGGTATTCAACAGTTCTCACCAATCAATTTCAGATTCAGATTCAGATTCCACAGAAGTGTTTCGGATACTCAAGATGAACTTAAAAGCTTTCTGTTTATCTGTTCAATTTGCAGTCTAAATGAATCTGCAGTGACTGACTGAAAAACGTACGTTGCTACAGTGATGAGCAGCATGTAGGTGGCTCTGAAGACGATGTATGAGCTGTAACACAGCCAGATGTTCCTCAGTGTGTCCATGACAAACACACACACAGCCATCAGCAGGGAGAGGACACATAGAACCAGCTCCCCCCACAGAGCCCAGCACACAGGCAGGTAGCCCACCAGCAAAGCTGCCAGGGCCCCTGTGGACCAGCACAACACAAAAAATAAAACAGTTCTTACACACATCACTTCAGAAATATCTGTGCCTGCTGCTCAGTCTAAAGCCTGGGGATTAATGGTTAAAAGTATTTTCCAGTAAATCCAAGAAAGCACATCTTGATATTTAAAACTGTCTTTAAATCTGATAACGTTGCACCCTCACCCAGCAGTGTGGACAGTGTCTCTACGTAGCCATTGTAGATTTCATAGTCGTGGGATGGACGAACGTTCTCCCACAGTGGTTGAACATAGTTGATGACCTGGAAGTAGCCGCAGGTGGCCAGAGCCCACCACATCGACCACGCCAGCAGGGGGCGACACCTGTAGCAGTGCAGGAAGTCCCCAAACAAGAGCCGCAACACATCCACAAGACCTCTTTTGTGATTTCCTGCCTCAGGGGACCTGGGTATCTGCATGGAGAAAGGGAGAGGTCAAACATGTCTCTTCATAAAAAATACAATTACAGTATTCACATTTGAAGATCCTATCATGACCCTCCTGTGACCTGAACATAGCAGCCTGTCACTCACCGTGTAGGCGTCCTGGGTGTTCAGAGGCACTTTGCTCTCTAAATCCTCAGCCTTCCTCAGCAGGGCTGTGTTGCTTCCCTGTGACCTCTCCTCCACTGCTTCTGAACTCTTGTGGAAGAACAAGCTCCTCTTGGGCATAGGTAAAAACCAGGGAGCAACGAAGGCCACGGCAGCTGACGTCAGGGTGACGATGACAAGGTGGAGCAGCTGAACTTTGGCCACAGAGAGCAGCAGCTGACCGATCAGAGATCCGGCAGCTGATCCAAACAGAGTGATGCTGCGGCAGTAACCAGTCACTCTCTGGTAGTGTGCCGGCTCCACCACGCTGTAGATATAGGAGTAGTAGGCCACATCCGACGCTGATGCCAGACCAAAGAAAAACTCCAGCAGCTGCATGGCCCGTATGCCCTTCACCTTCAGCAGCATAACATAGGTAACTACTAGGCTGGTGGCCTGCAGCACCAATACAGGCTTATAACAGAGGTAGTCAGTGGCCAGGAAGATGGGAAACAGTAGCGCCAGGTAGGAATACGTCCATGCTGGATAGATTTCGTTGACGACCTGCAGACAAAAGAAGAAGATTTACAGTAATAAGATTTTAATTCTATTCATCCATCTATCAATCCATTATCATTTGCTTATCCAGGGTTGGGTCATGGTAGCAGCAGGTCAAGCAGGGCACACCAGCAACGCCTTCTAGTTCCTCCTGTGGGTTCCCGAGATGTTCCCAGGCTAGATGGGATAATACTGCTGGCTGCTTTTCAATGCATTTTTGGCTGCAGGGGACACCACGAGATGTAGATCCCACCTCTCCAAGGCCTTGTGCCAACATTAACAATTCATATTAATTATAAAGGGCACAGATTTAAAAGACCAATGTCAATTACTTTAATATTGTCACAGTGGCAGCCATCTGTGAAGTTTTACAGTCTTAATGTAATCCTTCAAAGTCTTCAGAGTCTGGCCTGTCACAAGGCTTGCAGTTCTGTCAATCACTGGTTGACTCTGAACTAAGACATATGCAGCTTTCACTGTAGAGAGATCTGCTCATAAATATTAACCTGGCCATTTATTATTTATGAGGGTGTTACTGGTGTATCTGAGTCCTTTCAACACAGATTGAGGGTTTATTGTCTCTAAATTGAAAGACAGTGAGTCAACTACAATGACAGAAGTACACTTCCTTGTGGCACATCATAACTGCATGGGGAAATGAACATTCAGACTCCATTGTAAATAGGATTCAAATAATTTCACTGTAAAAGCATCAAAGCCAGGCTTTTATTGTTTGTGTAGATCAGTATCAAAAGCTGTATTTAAGTCAAGGAAAAATGCAGCACTGACTTCTTGTCTATTTGTGAATGATTTTCAGCCACTTTCCACTTTTCTGTAACCGTTTTGACAGTCAGTCTTGTGGAGAGCAGCTTGTTATCTTAGTATGGTCTACCAGTCATAATGCCATTCAGGGCAAAAACAGATTCATCACTGCTCCTCTTTTTGAAATATTTTTCTGGACAAACTTACAACGTGACGGAGGTAATTATTTTAGGATTAACCACAAATTCCACAGGATTCAACCAGTTTGCAAGAGGGATTATTCTGTCTGAGGCGAGATTGTATGGGGCTGTTGTTGGTGCTAGACAAAACAGGCAAAACAAAAAAAACTGAGCCGTTACAAGACCAGTTCTATTATGAGGCAAGGTGGCTGCTATAATGGTAGAAATATGGTGCTTAATATGGATTTGGGTATGTTGTGTGTACAAGTAAAAACAGATTTAAATTGTCACAACACATTAAGTGTGCCTGTGAGCCTCAGCACAAAACGCAGCATGTAAACCAGTGAACTTCGGCTTCCCTATTCTGCTAAAGCAAATGTACGTCTGCATGTTAAGAGAAGGTGGAGGGGGAAAAAAAATAAAGACAAACAGCAGTACAGAAAAGATGAGGAAACATGTTCAGCATGCGTGAACGCTCCAGCTCTGACACAAGCAGCTCTAATGGTGGTGTAACGAGAAAAATGCAATCATCCCTTCTTTAGTCCCTGTACGAAAGTTAAGAAATGTCTGTGGTGGAAGGACACCACATGTGTGTACAGACATGTGGACATGAGGACTATCCACATTGTTTGAAGGGTCCTTTCATATAATTAATCACAGTACCTCTAAAAGGCATCTAGCCAGAGAATTTTGTCTGCACCCCAATACAAGGGAGACATTTTGAATATTTTCTTATATATTTTCCAGACAGTATCCCTATTACTGTGGTTATGAGGCACGTGAGATGCACCTATGGACGATATAATCCCCGATGAGTATCCTCTATACTATGCACCTTTATTAGCCTTAAGAATTAGATACTTCATATTATGACAATCCAGCAAAGGATGCTGCAGCGCCCCACTTACAGTGAATACAGGCTGTATATGACAGGTGACAGTTCACGTTACATCAGCCATATCGCAAGACAGGAAGACAGGAAACCTTATATTTCTCAGTGTATACAATGTCGGGTTTGAAGTCGAACTTCAGTTTATTTTGATCAACAAAAACTGCCTTTTTATAAATATATTCATCAGTCACTCCCTGCGTTAAAAAAAAAAAAAAAAAAGTAATATCAAACTATTGTTAAATGAGATGCATAAACTGTTTATAATGCTGCTGCAAAGAATACTTATTTATTAATGCAGAAGAAACTAATTCATAATTCCGTTTAAATGTTTACTAACGTTAAAGTAAAAAGTTAAAATGTGACGCAAGCTTAGTGCTAACCGCTCAGTAGCATTTTGCCCGGCAAGCTAACTCACCTGAGTCTCCGTCAGGTTCTTGTCTGGTCCCATCAGGTAGGCGGTGAGGAAAGGCTCCGACGGCCGCAGGTTCGAGAAGAAGCCGTACACACAGAGCAGGAGAGTCGGGTACACCACAGACATGTTGGACTCACACAGCATGACCTCCACTCCGCGTTCACTGGCAGCGTGAGCGTTCTGCTGCTTCTTCTTTGGGCCGGTTAGTGTTACATGGCCAGCCTTTATGTACACTACCGCCACCACCTGGTCTGAATGTGGAGCAACCCCAAAAAGAAAGAAAGGGGGGAGAGATTTCTTTTCCCCCACTTTTACCGCCGCAGTTTCAGTTTCAAGCCAGTTAGATTGAGAACGCCCTGTCTGTACACTCATCCTGGCGGAAAATAGGATAGTTGCCCAGGAAAAGCTGTAGAGCAGTTATCCTGTTGACCCTCCCTCAACCTGAGATAATTTCCAAGAGTCCAAATGGTTGTGGAGAGTAAAATAAAATAACATATTAAGATAAAAATAGACTTTATTGATCCCACACTGGGGAAATGTACTCGTTACAGCAGCTCCAGATACAGCACAACAGATAAGAAAATACACCTTAAATAAAAAAATGAGATATGAAAAAATAAAAGTTATTTTAAAAGGGTCACGGCTTTTAAGAAAACATTCTTAGAAGCCCCAAAATTAAGTGTTTTCTTTTCAATGTTCTATTAGTTCTTTTGTTGTTTTACCCTTTTCTAATGTAGTACAAGACTGTTAAGGCTTACATAAGGCTCTGTGAATATAACAATAAATAATAAACTTTAAATAATAAACTTTTAAAACTTTTTTTTACAGCACTTAAATAATAATCTAAACTTTAAAAATAACAATTTTATTTAGTTGGCTTCGCAGAAATGAAATTGTACTGTATGCATTTATTTATTTTTCTCACACCCCACATGAAGCTCTGATGACCCCTGGGGGTCTGGACCCTCAGGTTGGGAACCACTATTTTAGATCTTTGCTTGACTAGCCCTCCCCAATAAATAACTACACAAATAGAATTCTGTTTGCAATATTTGGGAAACTCTTTATTGATAAATGTACATAACTTTAAAATGTTCAAATGTTACCACTGAGCAGGTTATCAGAGACTGAACCAACAGGAAGTATAGAGTGAATATTTTATCCAACCAGCAGACAACAGGGAAAGTAGAGCAAGGATTACTGAAGCAGGTATTTTATTTAGTTGTGTAAGTATTCTCAGAAACATGTTACTGTAATGAGCCAAATATAGTTTATAATTCACAATCTTATAAACAAAATAGATCAGAAATGCATCGCAGGATTTATTGAAGTACACAGAGAGGCTTGTGGCAATAAAATCATTCTCTATTTGTTTTCGCAAAAATGCTGCACAACAGAGGCCATAGCCAACCTTCACACAGCTCTTAGACATAACAGAAAATACATCACGCTTGTAGAAGCAACACAAACTGGAAAAAAAATTCTCACAGTTCTGAAACAAGCTGCAGGGGAAAGAAAACGGTCCAAAGTTGAAGTGAAACACAAAAACTATAGAAGCCTGGCCATCAACACATTCAGAGAGTGAAGTTTTAAGACAAACTGGCATAAAGAGCTGATTTACAATGAGCTTCAGCCATAACTGCAAAGTGCATTAGAATGCAAGCAATAACAGCCATTACTGTGAGGCATGATGGGAACAATATTATTAATAGTCAAGAAGCTTTTGTCAATGCTGCTGTCAACTACAGAGATGTTTTAGAAAGTACATTTCCTTCGGGTAGCTGTTCAAGTCCAAATCCACTATTTGTAGTTGTAAGATAAATGGATGTGCTAAAGGCAGTGACGGGCACCAGCGTAGGGCAGGGCATGCTCGTTGTTTCGGTTTTACAACCCACCCCTTTACTGTTTTGGTTCAGTCTCACCCAGCCTCATCCAGCAGGCAGCTGTTTCCAGGGAAAAAGCTCTGATAAAGTCACTGAGGCAGATATTTTTCTCAGGGTTGGTGGTCTCCAAAAACAGACCAAAAAGAAGGAGTGAATATTGGACTAACATTCATCAAGTAACAAAACAAAAAAATAATTTAATGACTAACCTGGGTTTTTTTTCAACCTGGAACATTTTCCCATGTTTCTTGTGTCAAAGTGACTAATGGGGACAACAGCCTTCGGATTCGGTCTAGTATTGAGAGAGAGCGCTGCAAGCTGCAGTCGTGAAACGGTTTACAACTTAATCCTTGTGGGTTTATGTGAACCAGCATTACGTCCATTATAAGCACCAGTAATTTGATCCCCGCTGGGATATTTGTTGTAGCTCTGACACCCGGTTAGACACATAGCAGATCAAGTGAAAGGAACAGAAGTTCTCTTAATTCCTCTGTACATTTGTGTTGTCAGATACTTATAATAAAATCTGAGCCTGTCAGTAACAAATACAAACACTTTTGATGGATGTACACTGATGGTATGCAATTTTCCCCCCAAGGATTTTGTTTTGCAGCTGCAGGCTCAATACTGGACCAAATACAAAACTTGTTATCCTTATTAGTCACTTTAACAGAAAAATCATGGGAAAATAACATCCAGGCTGAAACACACGTAAGTTACCCTTTACTTCTGTGTGGCTGATACTGAAGGCAGGATTGTCTAACCCAGGCCTGTTTTCCAAACACTTTGCACGGGGAGGGTTACATTTGATGCAGCGTGGAATGGGGTAAGTTTTAGTGGCAGCAACAGAAATCTTCTGAACAATAACTGTTTGAGAGACACCAGAGGAACTGTCCCAACTTTTGGGAAGAAGCCAGAGTCAGAGGAAAGGATAGATATCAGTTTCAATTCAATGTGTCTAGTACAGAAATAGCTTAACACAATCACTGAAAGTAGGGGGAAACTACTAGCCAGCTTAGTCACAAATGATAAATTCCACAATTTAAACAGTTGTTAGCTAGAATGCTATGAAGTGTGTTGTTTTTACATTTCTATTTTCCACAAGTGAAATAAAAAGATACAACACGAACTTGATGAAAAGTGTATTTTTCATGCAGTTTTAAACTGATATTGATCTTCTTATCTGACTCTCGGTTTCAAGAAAAATAAGCCTGTTTCCCAAAACAACAGACTGTTCCTTTAACAGACTGTTTTGTCACATACCTCCAACATTCCTGTACACAAAGAAGGTGTCTCAGCGTAAAACAAATACTCCACAAACCAGTTGTAATCAGACCAGACCAGATATAATCTGAACATAGAGGCAGGAGAGCTGATCCTTCCCACATACGCATTATTAGCAGAGGCAGATTCATGAAGCTACATGGTGAAGTGTCTTGTGTAGTCGTATTCTATTGTGGGAATGACAGCCTGGACAAACTTGAGAAAAATCAGAAGATACCTGAAAGTCTCAGTTAAGGAAAACACGGAGGAGCATGGAGGGAAATAACAATACAGTAACACAGTGCTGATGCGGTTACCATGACAATGTAGCATTAGAGGAAATGAATCATGCAAGCTAATGGGAGAATCCAGGGTTCAACCTAGAAATAAGGATATATTGATATATATTGTTGTATAATACAAATTCTGGAAAATCTATTGAGAAGCTCCCCTTTACTGGACAGTCCATATGAAAGAGGCAGACAAGAAACAAAGGGGGTAGGTTTAGCGCATGCGACAGGCATGGTTATGTGGCATGTGCTGTAACCATCTCTTTTTATTTGAAATTCAAACTACAGTCTGCATGGTGGAATTATTCAGTGTTCCATGTCTGTAATGAAAAGTCACAGTGTAGATCAGTTATGTGTTACTTACAGTATAAGGAGGTCAGCACTGTGCACTGTCTACTGTATGTAACACATTGACTAAGTATCTCATACACAGATCAGCCATAACATTACGGCCACTGACAGGTGAAGTAAAAAAACACTTATTATCTGGTTATCATGGCACCTGTCAGTGGGTGGGCTATATAAGGCCGCAAGTGAACATTTTATCCTCAAAGTTGATGTGTTAGAAGCAGGAAAAATGAACAAGGGCCGAATAGTGATGGCTAGACGACTGGTTCAGAGCATCTCCAAAACTGCAGCTCTTGTGGGGTGTTCCCCGGTCTGCAGTGGTCAGTACTTATCAAACGTGCTCCAGGGAAAGTGGTGAACCAGCAACAGGGTCATGGGTGGCCAAGTCTAACTAATGTACATGGGGAGTGAAGACTGGCCCGTGTGGTCCGATCAAACAGATAAGCTACTGTAGCTCAAATTGCTGAAAAAGTAAATG